TTTCAATTACTATAAATATCATTTACTTTAATGCATTAGATTTAAAGTATAATTTGTTAAATTTCTTTATCAGACTTTTATTTGTGCTTCTTCTGTAAACTATAGTTACAGAATATTCCTATTATTTACATAAGAAAATGACAGGTTGTCCCTTTCTTTCCTGAATGTGTTTTCTAAAATTGAGTACACCTTCATAGCACAATATAAATGTTTTCCTCCTTAGTGGCCACATATCCCCATCTATTCAAGGTAAACTACTTGGAAGTGACAGTCTTGCCAAAATTTAGATTTATGGAAAATTTGAAAGATTGATCCTTATTTTTAGAAAATAATCATCTTAACCAAAATCTTTTCATTTTTAAAATCATTTAAAGATTATTTTAATATAGTCAACCCTACTAACATTCACCCTTGTGGGGAAATGTTTTGTTGAGGGCACTTCAAAATAAACTTTTTTGATTTTCTATACTTCTATAAACACTGCAAATAAATTTATAACATTGCTCAATTTCTATCAATCAGCATTTGAGATCCAAAGTGATGACTTTCTCTTAAACTCACTTTGTTCTCAAGTGCTATTTCTTCTGAATCTTATTGTAACAAAACTAAGAATGCAAGTGTGAGGAATTAAAGATAATAAAGTGAAATGAGCACCTGTCAGGCACAGAAGTCATCAAAAATGCACATTTTTGTGTATATGTAATTAAAACATACTTAAATTCACACACATTTTAGAACTATAAATTTCTGCAGGCTTAGAAGAGATAAAATTGCTGTGGAAATATTCATATTCTCTACAGGAGTATTTTATAACAGTTTTATGTTCTTGTACAGCAATGATCCTAAGAATTAGCTAGTCAGCAATAAAGAGAAAGGGGAAGCTCAGCATTAATTACATCAGAACTAACATCATTGTATTTGGCAGATGTCCACTAACATCAAATGGCCTTTGTTAATTAAGCCTATAGAACAGACCAAATCAGTGAGCTATTTTGGAGGGCTTTCTTAGCCTATTGATCTTGGCAAGCACAAGTCACTATGTCATCATATATCTTCTCAATCAATGAGCATTAAAAGGTACGACTATTATGGAAGGTTCTTGGAAATATCTTAATGTAAAAAAGAGTGAGTCAAACACAGATTGAGAACCATTCTAACACATCCATGACCCATTCCTCTTGATTTTCTAAATTGTGCCATTAAGTGAAATCAGACCTTGCAAAAATAGAGTCTTTAGAACACATCAACTCAGTTGCCCCTTTCATCATATTACTTTCAGTGAATTTTGATTCAGTGTTATATTTTGCCTGCTGGTAATATTTTTAAAAATTGAAATGTACTGTTTAAACATCACTTCCATATTTTTCACCAACCTGTGTCTGAAGACATTAGTGTATGTCATTCAATGTTTATGTGTCCAGAGAATTTATATGTTTTGGTTTAATATACTTTCAGGAAAACATGTGTTTCATAGGTAGCTAACTCCTCCTGTCTTTTGAAAATAAAGATTTAAAATAATGCAGATTTTTTAAATGTTTTTTTTTTAGTTGTTGATAGAACTTTATTTTTATTTATTTATATGTGGTTCTGAGAATTGAACCCAGTGCCTCACACATGCTAGGCAAGTACTCTACCATTGAGCCACAACCCCAGCCCCAATACTCTAGATTTCTATGTTTAAATTGGTGGTTACAAACCTTATAGCAAATTTAGTGACTGAGTATAGCAAACTTTTTATTAAAAAGCAAAAAAGCTAATCTTCCTACAACTTTCAGATAAACTTTTTCGTATCTCCATGTTTCAATGAACTTTTGACCTAGTATAATCTAACAGCCACCTCAAATATTTCAAAAATAAATTACATGTAATTCTTAAAGGCATAAATAATAATTTGTGTTTTTCTCTCCTGCCTCTATTTTTTTCAACATCTACTAGGCAAAAACACTAAAATTATGCCATTAGGAAATTCTTAATTTGAAAGATAATGATAGTTAAAAATTTCCAGGGTCCCTGCATTAAAATTTTTCTATTCCATTAAATAACTTTATGATGGAAGACAAGTATCCAAATCTTCTTCTTCTCCTCTTTGATCTGGGAAAATTATTCATCATCAAATGATAATTGCACATCTATCCAAGTGTGTGTCTTGAGAATATATGTAAGTTCTGAGCATCGTGATCAGTCTATAAATTACCTGTTGTTATTATTGTTATTACTATTATTATTGTCTAATTAAATTATAGCATATTTCTGTCTATTATCTAACTTACAGTTCTGGTATAGTTAAACTATAACAGAACTATACCAAAAAATTCCAATGTTGAAGTCTCAATGCACAGAACATCATAGAGTGACAATATCGAATATGTGATCATTGCAGTTCTAGTTATTTCATATGAGGCTATTAGGATGAGTCCTTATCTATTATGATTGGTGTTCTTATAGAAAGTAAGTTTGAACACATACTTGCTTATAAAGAGAACACCATCTGAAAAGGAAGACACAGCTCAGATGTTGTTTCCAAAGCCAGGGAACTGTCCTCACACCAGCAGAAGTTACGGGAAAGGTATGAAATATATTTTCTTAAAAGCCCTCAGAAGGAAGTGAAAACTTGATTTTGGATTTCTAGGCCTTAGAACTGAGACAACTGATTCCTACCATATAAACCACTCAGTATGTGGCACTTTGTTACAGCAGCCGTAGAAGACAAACACTACCACCAAATTCTTTAGGCTGCTTATTATTTTTTTAATATTTATTTTTTAGTTATAGGTGGGCACAATATCTTTATCGTGCTGAGGTTCAAACCCAGAGCCTCACACATGGTAGGCAAGCGCTCTACCTTTGATCCATAATCCCAGCCTAGGGTGCTTATTATTATAGGAAAGATAACTGAAATTCAGAGAGAATGTATTATGGTTTGGATCTTAAAATCCTCCCTGAGGGCTGGGGTTGTGGCTCAGTGGTAGAACACTTGCCTAGCATATGTTAAGGCTCTGGGTTCAATTCTCAGCACCACATATAGATAAATGAACAAAGTAAATTTAAAAAGATCCTCCCTGAAAGGCCCATATTCCACATAGGTGGTGCTAATGGAGACTGCAGACCCTTTAGGAAGGAAGTCATTTCATTGGCTGTATGAAGCCTAGTGTAAGGAAGTCAAATTCATTGGCTGTATGCCTTTGAAGGAGCTGCTGGAACCTTCTCTTTCTCCTCCATTTCCTGGCCACCATAAGGTGAACAGCCTTGCTCCTTCGTGAACTCCCTAGCATGACACCCTGCACAGATTCTAAAGCAAGGGAGACAGCGGACCATGAGCTTAAACCTCTGATACCATGAGCCAAAAAAAATCATTTCCTCTTTTTAAGTTATTTATATCAGACATTCTTGTCATAGTAATGGAAAGCTGATTAACACATGAAATAACTTCTCCAAGTTCACAGAGCCAACTAATGGGAGCTTGAGTTTCAAGCACCAAGGATGTTTAAAATAAACAAAAACAAAAACAATCCCCCCCCCAGCTGTAAAATTAAAAAAGCTTAAAGTGGAATATACCTCCTATATACTTACTTATAGTCATTTAATGGTCATCGATCAGCTAAAATATCATGAGAAATAATCTCAGATGACTACTTTTAGTCAAGGAAAAAAAACAACAAATTTCTACATTTTCTAATGAGAAGCTTTTATGATAAAATCAATCTATAATATTTCTCTGCATATTAATATAGCAAGTAAATACAAACAAGTTGCAATTGGCAAGTGGGGAAGGGACATGGATGATATTTGGTACATTTGTAGTAAAACACTTTTTATAGTTAGTTTGGGTTCACTGTAGTAGTGAAAACAGTAAATCCATGAACAAGCCAGAGAGAACCAAATAACACTCTGAAAATGAAATAAAACCAGGCCGGCTATAAATATGCTTTGAGATACTGTGTGCCAAGGACAAATAGTGAACACTCTGAGTCATTTGATTCATAACTCCATGCCACGAAAATAAGTCTGTGGCTCAATGAAACACAGGTACCAGTGAAACCAGATAACAGTGTGTTATCCAGTTCTAACACCTGAGAGAAGGTATTAACCCATCGCCAAGATTAGCAGTGAGTTATACCTACACATTAGAGATACTATCTCCAATAATGCAGTTCTGTGCAGATTCCTAGAACATGCCAAAGGCAAACTGCCAAAATGCTCATAGATTAATGCATGTTTACAAGGTGCCAACACAATAAGAAGTCAAATGAGCAGGTATCTGATGCTGAAGAATAAGCTTCAGAAGAAAGATAATTTATACTCCCAGATCAAGGCAAAACTGATTACTTTGAGTCAAATTTCAGAGGTTTGATATCCTCTCAGAAAAGTAAAACCACTGGTAGGGCTAATATTTTCTCCATAAAATAGTTTGGTGTTTACTCTAGCACCTCATAAAATGGGTGAATAAGGCCCCAGAAAACTGATCTGAGATTCTGCCAATTCAATTGTCTTTTTTCATCTATCGGGGGACCATACCGAGGGAAAAAAAATTTCAAACCATTCAAATAATACTGATTTTTATTAAAAAAGTAACTTCCTGGAAAGCAAAAGTCACATAAATATCCAAGGCCCCGGACAGTTTTAGTTTAAAGTTTATCTTGAGTCACCTAATCTTATACAAATTAAATAATTTCTGGAAACCATTCTACCAGAAGCACTGGTACAAAGTAGCAGAATTTTCTTATTTTGAATTGATGCAAGAAGAGGGCATTCATCATCTCATACAGAAAAATCTTCAACTTATTCTCACACAAATGAAAAAGAAATGATGCTTAAAACACACCTCTGTCTAACATGGTTTTTGATTTCTCAGGCATCTGTGCCTATTCCTCTTTAGACATTTATCACAATTTCTGGATTTGAAGCCCTGACTTTCAAAACTTAAAATTATACTTTCTTTGTGACCTTCTCACCCCTACCTCCTCCTTCCTGCCCCATTTCTCATCCTGACCCTGACTTACCTCCTGTCTGAGTGATGACTTGTATGTCGCTTGAAAGAGGACCATCTCCAATTGAGGTAAAAGCCAGGACTTTGACAGAGTATGTTTTCTGGGGCACTAAGTTGCCAATAGTAGTGATTTGGCTGTCAGCTACATTGTGTTTCATCCAGTTGTTGACATGCTGAGTAGGATCCATTGTGTAATAAACTCTGTACCCTTGGATCTGTCCATTTGGCTCCTCAGGTTCCTTCCACTGCACCAAAATGGTGGTTGAGCTCAACATCCGTGCCTGTACATCCCTTGGGGCACTGGATGGTGCTTGCTCTGAGGTCTGTGTTAGCACAGGCTCACTGGGAGGTCCACGCCCAATGTTATTGACAGCAACAACCCTGAATTCATAATCCGAGTAGGGGCTTAGTCCAGCAACACTGTAGCGTGTGGTTGCCACCCCATCAATTTCTTTGTAAGGTTCCTCAGAATTTTTAGGTTTATGCTGAATGATGTAGTAAGAGACAGGCTCAGGGTTCCCAGAGTCCCACGTCAGTGTGATGCTCGTGGCTGTGCTCTCTGTCACTACTGGAGTTCCTGGAGGTTTGGGTAAGGCTTGGGTGGAGAAAAAACATAGTGACTACCCGACTTCTCCACAATGTTGCATGAATCAACAAGCTTAGTTATTGCAATGATAAAATTATGCATCTACTGAGGATTTAATTAGATAAACTTAAAGCAAAGGATAGTTTCTAAGTGGTTCAGAAGTGTGGTAAAACATACACAGGTAATGCAAATCTCATTTTTACCAGTAAGGTTTGACAGCATATTTTGGAGCTTGTATCCAAATCCAAAGACTGATTTGCTAAGTGATCCTGGATATGTTCCTTAACCTCTCCTTGATTTGGTTTTCTCATGTGAAAAATGGGAAAACTGCATTACTGGAGTTATATTAAACAGCTGAGTAACTATTTCATGGGTTTGCTCTGAAGATTAATGAGCTAATCTAGTAATCCTCAAAAAAATGTAGATGCAGTTATTAGTATTTTTACACCAAAAGCTTGACTATCTAGTCTCCTTTGCTTCAACAAACAAATTATACAACTAAGTATCAACACTCAAAAAGAACAAAAGGTAGAATATACTGAAATAGAATGGCTATGAAAAAAAGTTTCCATATTCTTTTACAAACATAGGTCATAAGGAGCTTTACAAAAATTGTCCTACAAATTTTGAGATAGGGTTAGGGTTAAGTCTTTCTCTGGCATGTGTGAGGTCCTGGGCTCAATTCCCAGCACTACCCAAAAAGAGAAAAGAAAAAATAAATTTAGAGGTTAAAAAGAATTGTAATTTCAAATCAATGGGGTTTTTTTGTAATTTGTAAAAATAAAGAAACTAAATTAAGATATATTTACAAGTCATTTTCTAAAATATGTTCTTGTCAATAAAAATTCATATTCTACATAATAAAAATTCTATGTTCTGTATCTGAGACTATTAGCTACATGACAAACATTTGCATTTAAGTCCATCTTTTAAGAGATCCAATTTTCTCCTTTTCACAGAACACAACTTCAAAATGCTCTTGTTTAAGGATATTAATCATCTATAACGGTAGCCTTCTTTTTAAATGCTTTTCTATAGACCACGATTGCAAAAGGGGAATTCTACCAGCAGACTTTTTAGAGAAAACCAGGAAGATAACATTCATATAAGCAGATCATTGTGTGGCTCTTGCAACACCTCTGCAATGGAATATTTTCCAGAGAAACAGGCTGGTACTGTGAACTTCCTGCTGTACTCCCCATACCTAGAAGACTGCCCCACACTGAGCAGGATTTTAAGTGAGAATTGTCAAATATCTGAGGAATGAGTTAGTACTCATTCTTCTATCTTCAAACTCTTCCTTTTATTTTGGTTTATTCATTATTTTATCTTTGAGATTCACCCTTAGGCTTTATTCATTTTTGAGGTAGAAAGGGAAGAGAATTGGCACGAGTCAGAAAAACAACAACAACAAAAAAAGTGGAAAAGATAAGTGTATTGTGATTCCTGCTTTTGAACTCTTTAAAGTGTTCAGCAAACCTTCAAATATTTAAAATTCAAATGGTTATTATGAAAAGAGGTGATTTAATATTTATATATTACTCTAAGAGCTACAGAATGATAATATTTGGCCAAGGGAATTTTCTAAGAATAATAAGACATTTCTTCAAATATTATGGCCTGACAGTTTTCAAAGAATTGAGTAATCCAGATTTCCCCTGTATTTCTGAATTTAAGGTAAAAAAAATCACTATATAAACTTATATTTACTAATATTAACTGACATTAGCTTTTCTAAGTGGTGTTTATTGTCTTGGATCTATAATGTAGGATAAATAAGAGCATGGTTAATATTTTAAGGACACATGATACATTATTTTAAAGTGACAATAAATAGCTGGGCAAGATACTGCATATCTGTAAATATTGTGTTGAGGCAGGAGGACTCCAAGTTCAAGGTCAACCTCAGCATCTTGTTAATATCCTGTCTAAAAATAAAAATTAAACAGAAAAACAAAGGCCTGGGCCTATAGCTCAGTTTTAAAATGCCCTTGGGTTTGATTCCCAGTACCAAAAAAATAAAATAAATGTTGATAATGTGCACTTTTACTCTCACATTACAGTATTGATTTTACATGGCATAGATTTGAAATATATACTCAGTTGGAGATAATGACGCCAATTATAATGTGTGTTGCATTTTCTTAAATTATACTTTCAAGAAAGGGAAGATAATTTTTGTTCATTCTGCAAAAATTCTAGACATTGCAAGAAACAAGTTACCCTCAGTATGACCCCATTTCCTAGTTTTCTAGAAAACAACTGATATTCCCACACATTCAATTTTTTTAAAACTCAAAATAGTCAGAGATAGTGTTTTAGTTGTATTTAGAAGAAACAATTTTATGAGCACTTATCTATACAAGTGGAAGGATAAAACTAAAACAGATGATAATGCTACTTCATTTGATTTTTGTGGTATGGTCCATCAAAAACTTTGAGCTCCTCTTATTAGCTTATGCTAATTTCAATGCTCTTTTTCTTCTCTTATGTAACTTTAAACTTTTAACAACACTTGTTTGGATTCTTCTTGGGACTCTGATCAACTCTTTAGACTAGTATGAGGCTGGTAATAACTAGTCTTACCATAATGATCAACCAGGTCTAGCTTTCCTGACTCTGCCAGGTTAGTGCCTGGGGCTGCCTGTTGTTGAATATTTTGACAATATCTTTAAGTTGTCAATGGACCTTTATTTAGATGCAGTGCTGAGAATCTAATGCAGTGCCTCACACATGCTAGGTAAGTGCTCTGCCTGTGAGCCAATATTTTTAAGAAAGAATTTGCTTATCTAGATATGTGTATACTATATAATTCCATTAGGTTCCACACATTTGAAACAGAGAAATGAATTGATTTAATTCATAATTCTGAAAACAGTTTTTCTAGGGACATTAATCAGGTACCTTTCGTGTACCCAGATTTTCAATGCCTGACTCACTGAGCATACCTTTGACAGTGATCTGTGCTATTGCTTCAATGACACCCAGTGTGGACATAGCAACACAGGTGTAATTTGCTGACTGTCTGACATCATTCAGTTCTAGGACATTTCTTCCTATTGGCATATCATCTTCAGGTGTCAGATCTTCTGCCCCCAACATCCACTTCACATAAGGCATTGGTGACCCCACTGCCACACAGGTGATATTAACACTTCCACCTGGCATGATTTCATGATTAGTGGGTGGGATAGAGAATCTTGGTGGGACACGGCGAACTGGAATAAAACACAAGGGAAGATGGTAACATATACAAGGCAAGAAGAAAGCGGCTTGCTAAACACATCACATGCACAGTACAGACACAATTAAACAACTGAAACATATTGTGGACCGTTCAAAAACAAAACAAAGAAAAGCTGTGGATAATACAGACCATACAAGTATGGTGTGTGTATGCACAGAAGAATTTATTTAGTTTAATCATTGATAACTTAGACACATTCATACAAAAGTGGATTCAGACCTACAAGGGCCCCACGAAAACTATCTACAAACTAACAATACACAAATATCATGCATAAGATCAACACAGAAACATATACATGCATGCATATAAAAATGGTTACATGCACGCATGTATATGCAGAAAGAGGGGCTGGAAGGTCACCAGCATCTGAGTTGACAACTAAAGCCAACTTTAGCGCTGTGCATTTCCAGTTGATGTGAATGTATGTGTGGAACCACACTGTCACATCCAAGCTCTAGAAAACATCTCCTAGAATACACTGAAAGTATAATTTATTTGCTTTCAGATTCAGAGTGGATGCAGCCTCAAAACCTTACACTAACAGTGGTACAAAAAAATACATATATATGTATATGTATATATATATATATATATATATATATATATACATACACATATACACACACACACACACACACAGAAGAGGAAACAGGCAAACACCAGTAGAGATACTGGACTGAGTCAGGCAAGGCATGCACAAGATGGGATCTCAAGGCCCATGCTAGGATAATGGGAAAGTTGCTGGAATCCAAGATGACAATGACAACAGAAGAAATAATGGGGAAACAGAACTACGCAAAAGGAGAAGGAATAGTATTGGGACAGGGACTTGGGGGATGAGAGGGTTGAAAGTTGAAAGATATTAGGTTAAGCTGAGGTTGCTAAAGGTCAAAACTGCAAATTCAGAACGGGAGCTGGGGATTTTGCATTCAGGATTCCATTCAGTTCATATCTAAGGTAAGACAACATCGATGAACACACAATCTAATAAAAGGCTTTCTATGGCTACATTCAAACTGAGGGACATCAGATCTAAAACATACAGTGGGACATGACATTAAGAAAAGTGGTTATCTTAAAGCAACGTAACAGAAAAAATTACCAAGCAATTTCAGTTCAGTGTTCCTGCTTCAGATAATCTGCACATTTATGTGTGTTTAAATACATGTATTTTGAAAGTGGTAAGAGGAGAGGGTGAGAGATAAAGGGTTTCCTCTTGGGCTTTTATGAGCAAAACATTATAACATGAGAATTTTAGATCAAGAATGTAATCTTTAGGAGCATACCTTAAATACAGATAATAAACTGATTTTCAAAGTTATAAAAAGACTGAAAAACCACCTCATAACCCCAAGAAGAAGCTAAGTGATTCTGTCTGAAAACTCTTTGGCTGCACTTAAGGTTGAGATAAACCTCCATTGACTTGGGAGGGCTCACTGCGATGGCCTCATGGGTGAATGACAGAGGAGAAGAAGAGAGAGCTAAGCATGCCTCCTGCAGCCAATTCACAGAGGTTACCCGAAGCAAGCAGGAGCCAGTGTAGACTCTGAGTTATCAAAGAGCATATCAAGAAAAATGGAGCAGAGTTTAGTCTTCATGCTTGGGATTAGGGGAGCAACTGTAAAAAGTCATTCTGTGGGCAGCAGGCACCTTTAGAAGACAGAAATTAAAGGTGGGGGAGGGAGACAGGAAGAGTGGAGGAGGAAGGAAAGCAGGAACACTGACCACGTTCACTGGACCTTAGAGAGTTAAGTGTTACCAGTTACCATGCACCCGGGCACATTCTCTCCCGTCATGCACCACAGACACCACCGGCAAGCAATGGAAGCCATGGCCAGAGCATTCTCTGCTAAAATATACCATTAACCAAAAGAAGACCACAATGCAGCTACATTCATTTCATTTGTATTCTTTGTTATTGGTTTAATTAATAGTTTTGTAAGGTGGGTAAAAAGTAAAAAACACACCAACCTTCTCGCAGCTCTGAGGGATGTAGGGGGTTTGATGCAGAACACAATGAAATGAGGAAAGGAGAAAAACAAGGGAAACACAGAGAGAGTAAAAAGGCCATATCAAGGCTTTCAACTGCTACTTGAACATCTTTATTTGCTCTAGTTCATCCTTCCTACCTTATCTGGAAAAGTTAGCAATACCTCATGGACTAACACAGTTATTAGAAACAATAGCTAGCATCATTTTGAAATTTTCCATGGAAGAAGGTATACATGCCTCATGCAGCAAAGGAGGTCACCATTGTGAGAAAAAGGATCAAAGGGCTTTCAAAGAATTTACAGAAGAAACAGTTTTCTTCATAGTCTCCCCACCCCAGACTCCAGAGGAAGGAGGAGAAAAACATCCCCAGGAAAACAATATTACCTCTAACAAAAATTTCAAAATCAAGCTAGATATTTCCTAAAGGGACTCCCATCCTACAGTCATTTAAAGCCCTCACTCATAATCTTTCCTCCACTCCCACCCCCGCCCACGCCTTTTGTGGCTTCTGAAGGATAGTCCAGGAATAAGAGGTTTCTGGTGGTCAAAAAATTACGGGAACTGGCTTTGAGAACTCCAGGGAAGGACTTCTAAGAGTTCAAACTTGAATCATTTTTTATTAGTATATGAAAAAATACAAATGTATCCCCATAATTCATTCTTGTTTCAAGGTCCAACCAATATTATTATTAAAAAAAACCAATATGTGTTCCATGGCAATCAGAAGACTGAATTTTTTAGTAAGTTTTAATAATTTAAATAAGCATGTGTGTATACATGTGCCTACACACAGAGGCACAGACATAATACTACGTGTTTATAATTAAGACACTATGAAAAGAAGGAAAACAATTGTGCTACTTGCATGTAGCATCATTTTTTAAAGTTGTTAGCTTTATCCTCAGAGCTCGGTAGCAGAGGTCACGAAGACATAAACGCCTCTATGCTTGCAGTTACCCACAGAACTGATTAGTAACACACCGAGCAATTATTTCAAGGTTTGATAAGGAAACAGAAGAGAAACAACAGGGAAAAAAAAAAGTAGAAGAAAAAGGAGAAAAACCTCAAACAAATGCCAAACACAGTTCAATCAATGCGGTAAAAATAGAAATCAAAATGTAAAAATGCAAATATACTTACAAACCTCAAGCCTCAGGATAGATTATACTCAAGAGTTCTCATTTTTTTTAAACAATCTACATATTTCAAGTTTTTAATTCTCTCTCTACTAAAATGCTTCAGCTACCATAACCATTACCAAATCAGCTTGTTACATACTGACAGAATAATACAGACCCCGTGGGCATCTCAAGTCCCCCTGAGCCTGAAGGAAGAAGCCACGCCAGGGTTGTGGCATTCCTACCTCTGACATATAAATTGGCAGGGGCAGAATAGCGAGTGCCCGCGCTGTTGGTGGCAACACACTCATATTTTCCTTGGTCAGATTCTTCACTCTGTTCGATCTGAAGGGCTCCTGTGTGGATATAAAATATATTGCCAAAGAGATGGTCAGAGCAAGCTTTTTCAATTCAGAAAGCTAAACCTCTTAACAACATGAAAAGCCCTGCAAAGCGAAGGTCCGCTCAACGTCGATTCAATCTCTTGCTAAGGTGCACAGACAGAAAATGATGCGATGAGAAAAACATATAGAGATTATTTTTTTTTACATCATCAACGCTAGCATAAGAAAACAATATCTTTTTTTTCCCAAGCAAGGCTTCTAGTCATAATTAACACTCTCATTTCCTAGACTAATAAAATGAAGATGGGTGAGACTGCTTCAAGGAAGTATGGCTTTTAAATAAAACAAAAGATTAATTTTTGGTTTTGTTTTGTTTCATTTTGGTATCAAAAGTGGCGCAAAAGATAGGTACGCTCAAAAAAAAACCAGGCTGGGTTTTCAAGAAAGTCTTCTGCCGAAGAAAGCCAAAAATACGCAGCGAGTACAAAAAGGCTGCACAAAGCGAAAAATTAAAATTAGTCATTATCAATTATCAAAATATTACTTAAAGAAACAAAACTCCCTTAAGACATGCAGATTTTTTAAGAAAAGAAAGACAGTTTGCCACGACTTACAATCATTTTTTTTTTTTTTACATTTGCTGAAAAACAAAGAGCAGTTGCATTAGAAGATTTTTAAAAAGTTCAAAAGCACGGCCCAGGCCAGCCAGGAAGAGCCAACCAATCACTGCTTGAGGACCTCGAGACGGATCCCCTAAGACACCCATCAAAATCCACCAGTGGGATTAGCAGTGTGGTGTCACAAAGCCCCAGGAAAAATACAAAACAAGAATTACAAAAGAAACGAACACTGAGTCAAAGTATGAAAAACCAGCAATACCACATACCACCAAGAATACTGAGCACCTTGTTTCCATGGCCTGAAGGACAGAAGATCCAAAAATCCAGAGACGAGTAATCCAAGAAAAAAAGAAGTGGGAAAAAAAGCATTGCTGTCAGACTGGAGGCGGGTGGGAGCAGGTGGAAAGGGGAGTCATTCTTTGACTTTTAAGACATTAAGAGAAAAAAGAGTCGAAGAACAAAAGCAAAAACCTTTTGAAAGATAAAGACAAAAAGCAGATGGTCCAGGCTGTCTTCTGCATGTCTGCCACTGTTCTCCAGACCACCTTGGCTTTGGTCCAGAACAAGAACAGCTAAGGAAGAAAAAAAATGATCTTTTTTTTTCTCCAGTTGGACAAAAAAAAAGGAAAAAGAAGAAAAAAAAAGGAAAAAAAAAGAGAAAAAGAAAAAAGAAGAAGAAGAAAAGGAAAAAAAGAGGGACAGATGGTACGCTGTGACTGGTCTGTGGTCTAAAGACCTGGATATGCTTTCTTTGAAGCATATCACAACTTAAATAATCATTTTCATAAAGGAAGAAATGAACAAAACAAAGAGAAAAAGGAAAAGGAAAAGGAGAGCTCACAATATGAGAGTCACGAATCATAACCAAACAGTACAAAGGAAAAAAAAAATTAAGTTGATGGACATTATTGGAATGACTTTGGAAACCGGACAAAGATGAGAGGGATGAAAGGACAGAAAGAATGAGTAAGATCATTCTGTGAACGTTAGTTCAGCACTCTTACCTCTTATTGGTGTACCACCTGGGTGGATAATATGAATGCAAATAAGATTAGAAAGAAGAAGCATTAGTACGAGAAGAAGGAGGCTAGGGCTGGGGAGAAGAATTAAATTAGATTTACAGAATTAAATAAGGTCTTAAAAGAAACTTGAATTACTCTACTGGTAAAACAGGAATATATTAGATAGTATTATTAGATCATAAAAGCAAGTTGCATTATACCACAGAGGGCAAGGACCATAATAGGCAGCATTGCCTTTCTCAGAGGGCAACTGAGTTCTTAGGTCTGGGGTCACATAGGGTTAGAACTGTATCTCATAGGCCTCATATCCTTAAGAACAAAAAAAAATAGAACTATACAATATTTTTTAAAGACATAATTTAGGTACATACTGACTAAGCTATTTAAGTATATATATAAATATGCATATATATATACTGTTATAGGAAATACTAAGCACTAACTAGAAACAAACACTGTTGACTTTATATCTTATGCTACTTTCTACGTTGCATTTGTGTGAATAACAACTATTCGTGTACTAATTTATCTTTCTATACAGTGTTCTTACGATAACAGCTCTGTGGAGGTGTGCGTGTGCGCGCCACTATGGAGATCTGGTGTCTACACTGACAGTTAGTAAAATGCATGCCATGCATTTTATTATTAATAATAATAATATTCTGAATATGGAAATTAGTGGGGGGTGAAGTGCGCTTCAGAACTAAGCACTTACCAATGGATTCTGGAGATTTAAATACGGAGAGAAGAAAGACAGCATAAAAATATTATTATATTCCTTATAATTTGGTACAAATTTTTCAGAGTTAAAGCTTTATTATACTATATCATCTATGTTACATGTGAATAATTAATTCTTTATTTACAATAACAGAATGCTAATCTACACAATTCTGCTGACAACAAGCAAAAGAGGCAGTTAACAAGACGCTTTAACATCACAGGACAGGTCAAAAGCTGAGAATTCTGGGAAGACAGGCAGTTAAACAACTTAGCACTCTAAATCCATATTACTACCCATGTCAAAGTAAACACCTTATTAATATATGCCCCCATGAAATTAACTAGGGACAGCCTCTAAAACTTAACAAACTTAGAATTACCTCCACTTTTAATCTACAGAGAGCAAAGGAATAAACTTGGATGCGAATGGGAGAGGGAGAAAAGGATAAGGAGAAAGAGATAAAACAGCAAAAGCTGGAGTCTACACCAAAAGCAGGCTTCTGTAGATCCAGTCCCTGGAGGGTTCAAAAACCTTGAGTGTGGGCGCACACTACTGTGGCTAATGTGTAGAAAATGCTCGCTCACAGTGATAAAGTATTAATAAAAATCCCCTCCTCTCATCGGTACTTTGAAAATGACTTTGTAAATTAAAAAAAAAATCCATCTGGTTACTCATAAGAGAACGTCTATGTGATTTATGTATTAGTGAAAAGAAAGCAGATGTGCCCAAACTTCACTAAACTTTGATACTTGGATGAGTTCAAATGTAGAAGACAGCAGAAAATACACTTTAATAAAATTAAATCATTTTAGTGTTAAATATGAACATTTATTTTTTAATGGATATAACCATTGGAACTCCTTGCAAGTTCTGAATGAAGTCCAATGTTGAAATAAATTTCTTTCAAAAGAAAACAGAAAGAAAGAGGAGAAAATGGATCCATCGAATACTGCAGGAAAGCAGTAAATTAAAAAAAATTATCAAAAATACAGTCACAGCAGTGAGCAATGTGGATTAAACAGAAGCTGCAAAACACAGAGAGAAGAAAGACTCTGAAACAGGTTATGACATCACACACATGGACAACACATTAAATAACAGAGAAAAAAAAAGAGGGAGAAAAATCAATACCTCAAAATTAAAAATTAAAAATAAATAAAATAAAATAAATAAAGAGAGAGAAAGATTTTTTTAAAAAAAAATTCTCTAGGAGTTACTAGAAACAGTAACAAGACCCTACCTGATCGTAACTGCTTAATACGACCATTGTTGTTGCTTGTGTCGACAGGTAAGAAATCTTTGAACCAAGTGATTTCTGGATCCGGATTACCACTGGCTGCACAAAGCATGGTGGCAGTGCGTGTACGCTCCACCACCTTCAGCTGTGGGCCCATGTCAATGGTAGGGAAGCCCCTGGGAATTTGGTCCTCTGTAAGACAAAAAGTAACACAAAAACTGCGTTAAGAAGTCAAATGTCCAGAATTCAATATTACCTATAAATCTCCCTTTTTACCTAATTCATTATGTTGAGAACCTAACACCAACCAAGTACCATACATTGGGTCACAGCCATCATCTCTGTTTCAGAGCAGCAGAGTACACATATGTGAAAGGCCAACACACAAATAGCTGAGACTGTGATACAGATAGAGCTCCCAGTGAGATCTTCAGGAGCACAGATAGTAACTACAATATTTGTGCCTGAGGAGGTCAGTGAGTATCAAACGGAAGCTCTGATTTCCAATAGCCCGTGAGGAAGAAGTCCGAGTGACCAAGTTGCAAAAAGGAAAAAGGGATTTTAGAGAGAGAGAAACATTTTCACTGAGTGAGTAAGCATAGACTAGTGTGTAAAGTAAAAGAAGTTCATGCCCCCTGCAAACAAGCAGGTTAGCAGGGAGCTAAGTTAAGCTGTCTGTACTCCAATCTAATTTGTTTCACTTATGACTTAAGTAAAACTAAACACACTTAACCCTCTGGGTCCACTGGTTCAACACTTAAATGTTGCAAGTATTAAACCAGTTGAAGATTCAAACTGTCTGGAAATAAATTGACTGTACTGAACATGTACAAGTATTTTTCTTGTTATTATCCCCCAAACAATGCAGTATAACTATTTACATATCATTTACATTGTATTATACAGTTACAAGTAACCTAGAAATAATAAAGTATATTGAGAATGTGCAAGACTATATGCAAATACCATATCACTTCATACAAGGGACTTGATCATCTACTGATTTTGCTATTGTAGGGTGTGTACACACGTGTATGTGTGTATGTTCTGGAATAGATTCCTCTCAGATACTAAGAGACAGCAGATGTAATGCTCAATCATAAGGTGCAATACAGATGAATTTCTTTATAGGAATTTTTAATTAATCAGAAATTTTTCTAAAAGGGATTTAACCAAAGAACAAGTCAACTCCGTACTAATAACACAAAAGTAAACAGGTCCTTTGGAAAGAGAATAATTTCCTCCATCTCTAAGTACCATTTTAAGTCATTAAAAACTTTAAATTCCTAAACTTTGAATTTCAAACTCATTTGCAGTTGACTTCTCCATACCCACATCAAGTTATTTTAGATCTCTGTTGAGAAATTAAAGTCTACTGAAATTCCCCTATCATGCTTCACACTGATAATCTACACTGCCAGTTCTTCCAGTCACGATTAGAAAGGTATTGAAGGAATTTTGGTTCAATGAAAATTATCTGAAGTAGAATTTAGCCATTTGTTTGAAGACCATTAGAGAAACATTTTGCCTTCCAGTTGGGATGACTAACAAGAGACCATTATACCCTTGTGACCACCAGTACATTTTCACATACCAACAATTCTAAAATGACAATTCAAAATTATCAACTCCAGTGAGCAAAACATTAGAAATCATCAGATGTGGCATCAAACTTCCCCTTGGATGTCATCTACAAGCTCCAGCATGAGTGACAAATCCACAGTTGATTCTGTGAATCTTATTGAGGTTTAGTTACAATTTCTAGTGCAGAAGCCCAACTGTGGTGCCTTCACCATGCTTTCAGTCAGCTCTAGGTGCTCTCCTATCTCTCCTCTTTCTAGTCTGCAGGGGAAATTAAACATCTGAAAGCTGCCTAACAAACTCTTTTGTTAAATCAGGTCCCACTTTTCTTAGCCTTTCATGGATCACATCCTCCACAGGAAACTTCTTCTGTCTACACTGAGATTGTCACCATTCCCCAGACAAATCATGTCTGTTGAATAACTGTGCCTCCAGGAAGCCATCCAGATCAAATTGCTTTCATTGTAAAGCTTTTTCCAAACTCCCACATATTTAATCATCTCCTTGTCAGAGATACCACAGCAGTGGGTTCCTAAATCCACTGTTTGTACTTACCAATTATATCAGGTTATCCCTCCACACCATGAGTTATTTCATGTCTCATCTGCATTCTAAAGCCCTACCCTCTTGCTAGTCTAGATTTGAAGATTTTAAGGTAAACTCCAGTGATTTCTATTCCTACTTGTGAATAAATATATCAGAATGCTTCTGGGCAAACTTTCTCTACTATACAGAACTTCTGGTAAAGAGGTGACCTGTAGCATATATTCAAGACTGGAGGGGTTCTGGATGTGAACACTTGATTTGAAGATCCCACCAAAGAAGAAAGTGCTCAAGAAGAGCAAAGTTCAGTGAACAGGTCTAAGTTATTATGAGAGAAAACTGATGGGGGTACGTAAGTGGATGTATAGTCTGGCCCTTTTGCTCAGCAGTATGGAGGTTAGATATCTTCTATTAAGCAGTCTGAGCAAGATCAAAAGTTCAGTTTGACATCTAAATTTACTAGAGAATATTTTCCCTTTAGACCAGTTACTTAGGGCCTGGAACTTCAAATAAGAAAATAAATAAATGTGTGCATGTACATTTATTATGTGCATGTGTGTATTATATATGTTTAACTTCATTGGACGACACATGTTAAGTTGAAAGTTGCAGCTCTTTTAAGAAACCATAACATTGTGTTTACATAAAAGCTTATACATTCTTAGTCAAGCAGAGATCTACAGTGGACAAGTGTCAGAAACAGTGGTTAAGAGTGTAATATCAAGATGATTTTTTTTAAGTCTCCAAGGGAAAATTAAAAATTAAAACCGAAATAAGAAGTATCTTGCAAATTAGGCTATGCTAATTTTAATAACCTATTCCACTTGAATTTCTTGAGTCAGTTCTTTATGTCTTTAAAAATTCTGCCCATATATTTCCATCTACAGTACAGTTCTAATGTTATTTAGGAACAAAAAATAGCAGAAAAAGCAAAAGCTGCTCTATCACACATATTATTAAACACTGAACTTGGCAGCTATTGACACAAAATGTTTCAAAGGATTAAAATAATTTACTCAAGTGCTTCAAAGTCAACTAGATTGCCTTCATCATCTAGAAATGAGGTTCTAAAAAAGTCTTAGGATTTGTTATTCTCCATTTTTAACACAGTGAGGTTAAATTAAAAAAAATCACCTTGGGATTCCTGATTTTTTTACTCCCCAGGGCACTATATCACCTTCCACCCTTTGCATTTAACTACTAGTTACATTCACAGCCATGAATATTGTCCTACTAATTGTTGGTTTTCTTCTAAAAGTTCATCTCTCAGAAGAACCAAGTCAACATTTACAGGGTTGATGGGTGGTTAAGTGTCAAAAACTTAAAAATTTTTGAGCCACTCCAAAGCTCCTACCAAAGAGATCTAGATTCACAAGAAATGAAGTCCTCACCTTTGGGATAGCAGAAAAAACTGACTTATGCCCACCTGAAAGTAGCCTAATACATTTGCATGACTGTTTTTTTTTCCTTCTTGACTCATAGAGAATACTCCAGAGCCTCCTTTTATATATAAAGTATACAACAAAGATAATCATTCTTGCATACTAATCAAACAGAGAATGTAACGAGCATCCTTTTCTTATTTTTAATAAGGGTAATTAAATTCTATCCATCCCCCCCCCCTTTGCACAGAAACTCTTTGAATGCACATTCTTCATTAAATTTTCATGAGAAACATCACAATGTAACAGATTCGAATAGCCAGAGCTGCTACACTTTGACAGTTGTGGCTTGTTTCCAATTTGACTGTCAGGTATTTGGCAATAAATCTCAGTATTCAACATAAAACAAACTGTAGAAATAATGAAATTTCTAATTGGAATGCTTATCTCAGTGGGTGTAGTTTAGAAGATGTTAATTGCCTTTTTTCACCCTCTACATTTATTAGTGATTTATACAAAACTGCCTTGGCTATTGGATAACATCAATTTTGACAGCTTATCAAATGAGTGGTACCAGAAACTTGGGAATCAAATCAATACTCTTAATGCCTTAACACATAAACTTTCACAAGGGGAAAAAAAAGCAGTTATCAAAAAATAATAAATTGTCAATGTTTAGTTTTAAACTTTTAGATGAGATGAAAAGAAAAACATTTTGTCCTATTCATTAATGTGCTCATTAAGTTTTAAAGTGCCTTACTTAACACCGTTCCATATTAATATTCAATCATGCAGAATTAGCTACTAATTCATCAACAATTTAAATCAGACTTGACCTTCATGAAGCCATTTGGTCTGTCATTTTGAGAGGCCATTAAAGGGCAGATTACTACGTACTTGTGCTTACTGAATCGTAGACTCATACATATTTTGTTTGGAATGGCAGCTATAATAGAGCAGGAAATATAGCCCATTCTCTGAATATGTTTATGTCTTAATGAAAAATGCTGATAAGAAATTTTTAGTTCTGTTTAAAAAAGAGAAACAGGAATGTCAGCATTTCTTAGAATTAACTTTCCATTGCTATTCAACTTGTTAACAATCCCTGACCTGCCCAGGACTTCAAAGGTATCTATGATGAAAATAGCCTGTCTCTGTTTTGCAGGAAGTCAGCCCTTAGACATCTGTCAATGATCAAGAAATAGGCTTTGCATAATTTGCTCAATTAAACCACTTTCATTGTTTATGCATGAAGAATATTAGTGATAACACTTTAATTTTTGCTCCAAGTCCACAAACACTGAACCTCTCACATTTGAAAGGAAATCTTGAAACTCTAAATTACCTCTTGAGGCCAGAGTCCTTCTGAGATAGCCTCAATTATCTCATTGTCCAACCTTGCTAGGGCTCTTAAAGACCAGACCAGTCCTTGCCCACTGGTCTAACCGATTTAAGGATATCTTCAAGGAAGGATTCTATATTATGGTTCTTGGAAAAATCCAAAATTTATCAGATTTATCACCAATACATTTCCTAGGAAAATCATGTCAATCATGGTATGCTTCCTCAAATGCATTATCAAAAGATTTGACAAGTATACCAGAACTTTGGGCAAAAATGGTAGTATAATAAAGTAAACATCCAAATCCGAGGGAAAAGATGAGCAGTTTTTTCCTTGGTGAATTT